TGACTAGACCTGTAGGATTGTTTCCTTAAAATGTTATATATTTCATTACTTGCATATACACATATGTTATAGGACTGAAAGATTCTACTGAAATAAGATAGACTAGTTGCCTATACAGTGAAGGCCAGATAGATTTGTGTAGATGGTCATACATTACGTTATTTTTATTGCATAAAGCACAGTATCTTTTAGGAAGAAACTCAGGTTCACCACTAATGTTAGAATGCTAACTTCTCATTACTGAATCGCATTCTGTCTTCACCGCTTTTCAGCTGGAATACCTTTCCTGTGTACCCCCTGAAAACATGCTGGGGGTCATTTTTAGACACACAAAGCAGTTGTAGTCTGGTGTTTCCCCCACTTATGTATACTGCAGAGCACCTGAGGATCTTGACCGGTCTCCCCTACTCAGATGCCCTCCAGATGGTTTGCACTTCCATGAGCTCTGGCCAATTGTGAGTCAGGATTGCTGAGAGTTGTTGTCCAAAACATTTGGAATGCATCAGGTTTGGGAAGCTGCCTAGACATACCAAGTCATTCCAATACGCTCAATGCTTCCACTGTCTCTGGTATGGGCATTTCAAATGAGGTTGTGGTGGAGGGAGGCAGCTGCTGGGGGGTTGCACTTTCTGATGCTTGCTTTGGGAACTCTGCTGAGGTTCTTTTTTTGGCTGCCAGGTGAGCCTTAGCCCCAGTGCTGCCCTGGATGCTACACAAGCGAATCTGTACATCTTAACATATGTTGCAAGTTGTGCAGAAAAATCAGCTGAGAGTCAGCTCTTCGTTCGAGTCACTGCAACAGACAGATTAGAGTGCGGCAGCTGGCTTCCCAAGATAGGTAAGAGTTTTGGGTGGTCTTCTTCCCTTCCTTCCAAGCACATCAGTACAAAAGTTTTCTAACTAGTCTCCATTAAGTTAAAGTGGCCAGCAAGACAGGCTTTGTGATACAAAAGAAGAACATTGCAGAAATCAGTAACAAAGGAAACAGGCAAAGTTAAAATACCGGCCATTCGGAAAATATGAATTAATAATATAAAGTTGCTTCCAAACTGAATTTGATTCCAAATCTCCTCCCTTTCAAACCAAAAAGAGCTGACTTCACCTTCAGGATGGATCCTTCTGCTTATGGGCCAATCGCCTGGAATGTCTGGCACTTCTCATTTGGCTGCCCTCTTACCCTGGTGCCATGTGCTCAGCCTACTGATGTCGGGCCTGCCCTCTCCCATGTCAGTTTTCTTACTAGACTTTCCTGCAGAACTTGAAACTGCCTGATTCTCAGTGGCTGCCTGGCTTATCTCTGGGTCAACTGGCCCTAGTACTTCCAGCCCCCACACTCCACTTCTGGATCAGAATACAAATCAAAAACCTTTGAAGGCTGTCCTATATGAGGAGTGAGCCCAGTCCTTACAGTAAGCCTGTGTCAGTTGCCTCCATCCATTCAGAGTCCAGCCTAAGGCACGTATGCCTTGGTGAGTAAAGTTTGCAGGAATGTGAGTGGTGGTGGGTTGTACTGGAAGAAGCTTCCCAGGCATGCAGGGGCAGTGAGTCCTCCCACAACTTGGAGCAGATCCTAGTCTCCTTTTTGCAAGAATGGAGAGGTAGACTAGAATGACAACTAGACCACTTGCTATCAGCTGCTCAACCTGTTGGGACAGGGATGGGCCACTTGTGGCCTTCAAACCCTGTCAGCTCTAGCTAATGGTGGGGCAAACGTGTAGAGAGGCACAGATTCCCCACTTCAGTCCTAGAGGGAAGAGACATAGATGCTGCTCAACCCACTGGGGATTTTGGCCAGCCAAGGGCTACAGTGCTCTAGGAATGGACTGTAGCTGTATCTCTTTCTTACTGATGCAGGAGGGGTCCCAGTAAAAGTTTCAGAAGATGTTTCTCCTGGAAGTTGTATCTACAGCACTGTCCTGAAGAGGCCACACACAAGCAGCTTGACCGTAAGCTTTGTGGTTATAAGGGGGATGCAGAATAAGTCTGAGGAAGGATTTATTGTCAAAAAGGAGGTGTCCTTGGCAACAGGTGGAAGGTGTGCTTGGGAAAAGGAATTTTGCAGTTCTGTGACTGGCCACTGGGAGGCAGCTTGAGAATTTGGGAAGGAGCATTTTCTAGTAGTGTCCTGGGCAGGAGATCTAGAGAGGCACTTGGAGATGGGTTGTGTTTTTTAATAACTTCCTCAGCTGACTTTATTTTCTTCTCTGCACAGTACACCCTTGAAAATAATTCTCTGCCTTTTACAATAAATTCATTTGGAATTGTGTGTGCACCTGCCACAGGCTTCAGTCATGAGCAAGCTGGCAAGGTATGCAGCCTTTGTTTGCCTTATATATAGAGATACATAGAGATGTTTGGCCTATGCCAGGCCTGGCCCGTATCCTTGCCATCCCATTGCAGTCAGTGGGATTCTGTTCCTGAGCGTGGCACTTCCCACCCCTAAAGCAGAAAGGTTCACAGGAGGGACTCCCGCTTGCCTGTTGTGCCACTAGTTTTGACACAGCTCCTCCTGTGCTTGGGTCTTGGGGCCTTTTTAGTCACATCTTCCTAATGCTTTCCATTTTGGGGGACTGTCCTTTCCTGTTCCTGGAGCGTCATTCTTCCCCACTGAGATCCCTCCTGGGCCCAGCAATGTCCTGAGAGAATGCTTTAGACTAGCCGGCAGGCTGGCAGATTCACAGTCTGTTCTTTCCCCTGCAGATATTCTCAATGGACATTGTGGTAACGGACAGCAAAGGGCGGAGCTGCCGCATTCCTCTGTCAGTCCAGGTGTTGCCTGTTTACCACAACCAAGTCAACTTCACGTGAGTTGTGGGCAGGAAGGTGGAGAGAGACCCAGAGACTCTGGGGCTCCAGTTTCCTCATTCACTAGACCTGGAGTCTGGGCTACCAGCAGGTGAGACTGGCCCAAGACGGGCTGCACTGCAATGTAGGAAAGGCAGGCTCCGGGGTGTGGCGCTTCTTTCAGCCTGAGCGCTGAATTCCCTTCTGTGCAGGCTCTCGAGGGCACCTGTTGCTTGGTGGGTGAGCCTGAGGGGGAAGTCATGCCCCAGTTCCGAGTGCATGTGGAGCCCATCCACTCTTTCACCCACATAACTCATATCAGAGGGTCATCTTGGCTAATGGGCAGGGTAGAAACGTAATAAATAAATAAATAAGCGACTGCTATCATGTCATGGTGAGAGAAAAAGCCCTAACTCTGAGCACCCTTATAAAGCAATGCAGGCTTTATAGTGAGAAGTGGTCCTTTGGGAATCCAGCAGTGTCACTTCTATTGACGTGCCAGATAAGCTACTGCTTAGGAGTAACTGCCTAAAAAAAGGCAGGGAAAAGTCAAAAGATCTGGACTTTACAGTTCAAACTGAATGAGCAAAGATAGTTCACCAAAGGTCCCCGCAGGACTCTGTCTAGTGTAAAGTCAGACCTTTTGCCTCCACCTCATGAGTCTTAGAAGACAGAGATTGTACAGTGCATAGGCTGGTCCTCTGACTAACCTCTGTGACACTGGGGATCTGACCATCACACTAGCTTCAAGCTCTCTGAAGAAGGCATGGAGCATGGAGGACCTCTGGAGGTGTCCTTTTCAGGCCATGCTCATTGCTAGGGTTGCACTGAGCAGCCAAGACTCAAGCTCTCATATCTCACATCTGATGACTTTTGATGTTTATCCTTGTTGACCTGTTTTCGCTCCTACATTATCCTAGTACAGTGATCTGGCCCTAGGTGTTGACTATGTGAGCAATGGCGCTTCTTGGCTTAGAAGGAGGGAAATTATGCTGTTTTCTTCATGATTCAGGGTGTCATCTGTGGCAACCTCTGTGCTGGAAAATACAGGTCCCCTCCAGACGATTATACAAGTTCAAGCCCGTGGGAAAACTGTGCGTTACCAAATCGACTCCCCAGACACACCCTATTTCACCATAAATTCAGGTAATGGGAGTCCAGTGGTGTGGTATGATCCAGTCTCAGAAAGGACTGAGAAGACTGGAGTGGCCACCACAAACTGTCTTCAAATGATCTCAGCCCCCTTCCACTCTGGGGGCTGACTGATCACAGCCTCTCTTGCCTACCTGCAGAGACAGGTGAAATCAAGAACACGTACAACCTAGATCTGAACCGCAATCCCAGCTTAGCCCAAACCCTTCTAACAGTGAAGGCCTACGAGATGCTCCATCCCACAGATAGTGCCATCATCACCGTGAACATCACTGTAAAGCGGCACAGCCTGCAAGGACCGCTGTGCTTCCCTGCTGTAATCGTGTAAGTCACTGTCTTTGGCAACAGCGTGAGCTAAAAGACACATGATGGTTACAGGACCAGCCAGTAGTTACAGCTCCTCACCTGCAGAGATAGATCGTTGGGACATAGGCAGCAGATACCTATGGCTGGAGCACCAGAAGCAGGATGATGGAGAGGGATGGAGGACCTAGCAGAACGAAGAAGGGCCAGAGGCAAAAGCAAAATCAGGAACGAACAAAGGTCAGATGCCATCAAGGCATGGGTAGAAAAAAGGAAAAACCAGGAACAGCAAGGTCAAAGACTGACAAGGATGGCGGATCCAGAAGGAAAGGCAGAATCAGGAACGGGGAAGGGCGAGGTGCCAACAAAACATGCCAGAACACAAACCAGAGTTATTAACCTAAGCTGAAGGCAAATACCAGCATGGCAAATCAGGTCCAGAAACAAGGCACTGTCAGAAAGGACAAGGAACCGGTAACTGGCAAGACAGGCGCAGGCAAGACCAGAAGCAGGGCTGGGAATGGGTGTGGCCCCCACAAAGGCCCAGTTGCTGTGGCTAAGCTGAGCCGCCCAGGGAAGCCTTTTACGGAGCCTGCGGAGCTCCTGGCTGTGCTGCTTGATGAGACAGGCACCAAGCCTTGCGAGCACCTTCAGGTCTGTCCCTGGTCCTGCAGGCACTTGCAGGGTGAAGTGTGCTCCTCATAACCCGGAGTTGTGTCCAGGGGTCAGATCCTAATCTGTGTGTCTCATTTAATAGCTCCAGCTGTATTCGTGGCGTCAGGAGGGTCCCTGGGCATCGACCCACAGACTCAGGCAGTTTCCAGAGGAGTCTTTTATCGCACTGTTACTCTGTCTCACAGTCAGACATCACTTTACAGATGTAGCCAGCAGCTGTGTTCTCCCCACAACAGCCATCTTTATTCCAGAGTAGGTGCCAAGGGCCTGATCCATGTTGGATCCTTAGCACAGGGGAAGGGGAGACTTTAAGCCTCTTCTGGCCCATTCTGAAAGGGGCTGTGTGTCCATTTTGATTGACAAATAGTGATCGTTATTTTGCAGTGAAAATGGCATGTGTGGTCTCCTCATTCCAGTTTATATCCATAGTAGGGGAAAAGTTTAAATACTTTTGCTCCACATACTAAAGGCCACCCCTGGATCAAGATCCTGGCACCTACTCTAGGGTAAAATTACAGCTGGCCAGGGAGACAGAGATGTCAGCTCTGTCTTTAAAATAATTTCTCCTTAGGCTCTCACTCATGGAATTTTATGGGTGGTCTTTCTCATGTTTTCCCATTGCTTCCTCCATTTCTTTTCTGACCAGAAAAAATGAGGACAAAAGAATGATAGACTAGCCACACAGCCTTTGATTATGAGTGCTACTAGGAATGATCCATCTGGAAAGTTGGTCCGGAGGGGTACAAGTCTTCCTTAGGGGCTAATGGCTTGTCAGCACTGGAGTGCAAAGAGGGGTCTTTTTCCCACTGGTATTATACACCAGAACCAAATGAATACCAGTGGCCCTCTTATGAAGGCTGGATATGTCAGTGTGATCAGTTGTAAGTCACTGATCAAGCAAGAGGGTGGGTGCAGGCAAGGAGCAACCATTTCCCCTTTCACATCACCTTTTCTCTCCTTCTCTATCTTCCATACCCACCACCCTGTGACTGTGATGACTGCTTCATTCCAGGACTGAGGTTCCAGAGACGACTCCCAATGGGACGACCCTGCTGCCTCTACTGACTTGCAGTGGTGTGGCCAGTGGCAATGACAGCCTCCACTACCAGCTGGACACCCAGAGTCGTCCTTATAGCTTCCGAATGGAGGGCTCAGAACTCAAGGTGAGACCCTGAGGTGGTCCATAATCTTCCTTCTTTTAAGTTAGGGAGGGGGGAATGTGTCAGGAGGTCGATGCTTGAGGCTTCAGATGTATCTATCAGTCAATCCCGGCAGTGTGACAGAGTCCAGTGCAAGCCGGGCCTTGAGGTGGGCCTGAAATCCCACTCAGCCAATGGATCCGGGGGATCTTGTGTATAGTAGGGGCCTGTGCTTCTTTTGGGGCGGTTAGAAGCCACCCTGGGCTGGCTTAGAAACCATCCAAGCAGCCATGGCTTTTAGTAAAAAAAATTGTGTGTGTTATCTGAACCCAGATGCCGTGATCAGGCCAAAAAAAAAAAAAAGACTGGCCATCCTGAACCTTCTCCTCCTCAAACCCAGCTTGGGATTTGATTTAGAGAAGGCACATAGTGGAGGAAGAGGTTGCTCAGCTTTGCTTCCTCCTCCGCCTACAAGATGTTTGTTAAAGTGCGAAGGAGAGCTGGGTTAGGCAGCATTGGCTCGGGCGTGCTCTGACATGTTCATGCCAACCCAGGAGCTGACACAGGGCCATCAGGCTGCTCTCTGGGTGGTCTCTGGGGTGTATGCTGGGCTGTGGGGAAACAGACCTTGGTTGCAAGGTCCATCCCTGGTTGTGCGCCATTGGGCTTGCCATCTTTCCAGACCGAAGCATCCCTCTTTGTAACTGGATGCCATTTGCTTTGGTTGTGTCATTGGGCTTGATGGACTGTGGATTAATGGCCAAATAGGTTGACCTTTCTGTGCTTGGGCCACACCAGGTGAACACCTCTTTGGAGTGTGACTCTTTTATCATGGCCAGCCTTGAATGCCAGTATCGAGCCACTATCCTGGTGATGGATCATGGAAGTCCCCCACAAACCAGTGAGTAGTACCCTCTCCAACAAGCACTGTTTGGGCTTTGCCTTTCCTGGATGCTGCGTGTAGGAACTCAGAGTCCCCAAAGGATCCACTTGCTGTGTGCTAAGGCAGGATTCAGACAGGAGAGGCGAGCTGGCCCAGCAGCAGGTTCTCAGACATCGGAGCCCCGCTAGCAAAACTAAATCTAGCACAACTCTGTTGTCTGAATTAGTACCAGGATCTAGTGTGAAGTAACCACATGCTGCAAATAGGTCCTACATTACAGGCAAGGCGGTGTGTGCTCTGTGCTTCTTTTTTCATGAAAAGTCAGCACCACAGTAGCTGAAATTCTAGCCACACATTCTCCTTCTTAATTTTTGCCCCGATCATGAGGATTCTCTTTTGAAATACATTAGTTATTCACAGTATTTTAAAGAGCATGTTTTAGGTATGTCTCATAAGTAGTTGGCTTTTGCTTTATAACAGAAGGTGGATCTGTTTATCTACCTGTTTACACATATGCACCTATTGACTCTGCGTGTTTGTTTTTGCTTTTGTTAACCCCAGTTCTGTACCAAAACCGCAAAGTCTTTTTTCTTTGCCAAGCCTATTTTTGCAGGCCAAAGGACTAGCTTCCCCCACCCCGACCCCACACACAAGTTTTTTAAAAGAAAGTGGAGTCCAGAAATGCTGAAATCTGAGCTCAGTGCCAAACCGTTGTACTTTCTCCGTGCAGTAGTGGGCCACAGGTTGTATATAGCCTTGATTTAACCCTGTTGTTTAGTTATTAAGAACTGGTAGCAGTTCTCTCCACTACTCAGCTTTGCCACCTGTAAAGTAGAATTAGAACCATCTTTCTTGATAGGGGCCGTCAATATGAAATGGCTAGGTTTGCAGACTGCCTCTTCTCTTCAGGGGTTTGGAAATACAAAAATACAAAAAAATGTATTTTTGCTAAACTGCAATCTATGTTTCACTTCTGCACAAACCTTAACAGGCAACAAGGTGTGGGGGATGTTGGTTTCCCATCTCCCTGTAGATAAAATAGGGACAGTGACCAACTCTTCCTTTGTATTTTCTGAGTGTTGAGGAGGGCTTAATTCCAGAAGCATTGCATGTCAGAAGCAGATGCCTACAGGATGAATGTTTTAGTTATCTGATCATGCACACTGGCTAAAGAATTATCAGTACATGAGCAGGCTGCAAACTGATACTGCAATCGTTCAACAGAGTGGCAGAGAGTAGATCTTTAGATGCTTTGGGCTCTCAGCATTCCTGACCATTGACCATCCTGGGAGCCACTTCTGGAAGATGAAGCTTGAAATATCTGGAGATCTACTTTCTGCCTTCTTGAAACTGGTACCCTCCAGATGCAGTGGACTGTAGGTCTCATAATCAGCCTTGTTGGCTGAGAATGATGAGAGTTTCAATCCAGCACATTTGGAGTATACCAAGCTGGGGGAGGCTGTCTGAGAAATTTTAACATTACCAAGCCATGAATAGGTTATTACTGAAAACCAAGGGTGGAAATTACTTAAATACATGCTTACTTCCTCCATTGAAATAAAGCACATTCCATTTGTTTATTTTTTCTTCTTTATGGCCCAGGGAGCTAACAACCATCAGCTATTGTATAGCATAAATGTTATTGTTTAAGCAATAAGGAAAACACTTGAAGAGGCTGTGGAATTCTATAAATCACCTATGTGTTTAGTCATGGCTGATGGCCAGATGTTTAGCTTTTTTCAGTGGCATCAAGACGAAAATGAAAAACTGTCCAAATTATTTTCACAGAACCAATTCCTAGAGCAGAGAACATTGTACGGACTGTTTAGTGTATCAAATGAAGCAATCGGGCAGCTGGCTGGGGCTGATTTGACCTTAGAACATGCTCCACAGACTGGTACATGCAGGGAGACAGTTACTAAACAAATTTGCCATGGACAAGCAACAACTGCCTGTGATCTGTGCCAAAACAATAAAGGGGAAATCAAACAGGAAGCCCAGATTAGGCCACCCTGAAAGGAGCAAACACCTGCAAACAACTGATTCAAGGGCAAACACCAACTGATTTGAGTGCAAATCCTGTCAAACACCCAATAAAATGTAAATAATAAATATATACAAATATGGGAACTGTGCAGACAATTCCTCTGAGTTTTATGACGCATTTAAAATGAATGCACAGAGAAATTTGCTGTTGCTAATATGTATAGTAGATTCCCAGTAGGTTTATGTTCAGCAAATATGATGAATAATTGCAGATGTTTCATAAGTACATGAAATGGAAGGGCATCATTATGGCAGAGCAGTGAGCTCATTGGCTGCCCCATTGTGAGCCACATGATGCCAGAACCTGGTCCATCCCTGGAAATATACTTGAACTTGATGTGATTATGGCTACCTGTTTGTTCCCTCACACCTGGATCTACCTCAGTTACATATAAAGCAGTAGTTATATGTAGTGGTCATAAGCAGTGGGCAGCTCTTGTGGAAAGGGGGTACTTGAATGCATGGGGAGATGTTGAACCCCTCCCCACATGACTTAATTCTTTGCAGCCTCTCTTCTGATTTATCTGTCCCTGCAGTTGTGGGGAGAAGTTACAGCAGAGGTGCAGTGCCTAAATGCCAGAGCCCTAATCCATCCCTCCGCAGTCAAATCCAAGAGTCCCAGTCCTGTTCCCCCAAACAGGACTCTTCCCCTGGCTCCTCTTCCCCTGGCCTTACCTTGTCCTCTCAGCCACCAATTATTTCATGGTTTCCTGTTTTTTGTGGTTCCTGCAGCTTCTAAAATGGTGAAAATGTCTGTGGTTTACTTACTGGCAGTACTTCATGCTAAAATATTACTATTATTGATTTGATTTGTATGCTGCCCGATTAGCTATAGGCTCTCTGGGCGACTTACATACAATCAAGGAATAAAATACAACAATACAATAAAACATTAAAAATGCTGGCATGTGACATGCTTTGAGCTTCTTGTTTTGTTTTCAGCCCACCCACCAGCAGCATGTGGCCCCTGAAAGCTCTGAGATAGAATTCTTCCCACAGGCAGGAAGAGGTTTTGTACCCCATGGGGTGTGGGGAGCCATGGGGAGCTCCCCACGCCCACACACCCTGTTTGCTCTAAAAAAAACACCTTCATATTATTATTAATAATAATAATTTTAGGTTTATACAGCCACATAGCTAAAACTTTCTGGGTGGTTTACAATTGTACATGAAAACGAGACAATGAACTACAGTAAAACTACCATAAAATCTCATCAAAGAAAGATTTTAAAAAACAGCTAAAGAATACAGTGAAGAGTGAGGTAGATTCTCCTACTCTAGAGACATTCAGAAAGAAACTGGACAGCCACCTGGGTGGGATGGTGTAACGTGGTGTCCTGCAACAGCAGGGCTTGGACCTGATGGCCTTCGGGGCCCCTTCCAACTCTACTATGAGTCTATGATAATGCCCCCATAAAAGAAAAATGTGTGAAGGGTAATCCCCTCAAGCCCCTGAATTACCAAGTATGTCTTTCATGTAAAATGTAATAAATAAGCAAATAAGATAAATGTATTCACATTAATAAATTTAGGTAATAAATATGTGATTAGTAAGCCAGGCCTAACAGCAGCCTCCATCTTACAAATATTTTATCTGGCTTGTGACTTCTGCTGGTATAGGCAGCTGCTCAGTTGCTCACCAGTCACTAGCCAAGCTTTGCTGAAGCTCTACCTTCCCAAGCCTCTTCGTTCTGTGTGTTTTGCAGCCACTGTGCCTGTGCTAGTGACAGTCAGCCGAGTGAATGAGTATTTTCCAGTATGCTCACAACGGTTCTTTTCAGTCCCCGAGAACGCCAACTTTGGGTACAGTATTGGAAATGTCAATGGCACTGACCGAGACTATCCTTTCAACAACATTGAATACAGCATCCTGGGGGCAGAGACTGGCGCACTCTCCCCTTTCTATGTTGGACCTCGCACAGGTAAGAAAGGGTTTGACCCTCTGGGATGACCTTCCTGTTGCTTCATCTCCAGCCTTTAACTTCCTACTTTCCCATGTCAGCTTTCAGGTCTGATACATATGCAGGTGATGCAATGAGCAGAGTACAGTACTCCAAAGAAGCAAGCAAAAGGATCTCCAAAAGTTCATTCAGTTTATAGATTTTTTTCTAAATTTAAAATGTTAAAATTATTTTTAAATAAAAGTTCATAGAATACAATTAAAATTGTTTAAAAATATTAAGTGTGTGTGTATACATAAAATGAAACCTTTCATATAAAACACCAGCTGTATCCACAAAGAGGAGTATATTGCAGTCCTACTGAACCAGAACCAGTCCTCTTGAACTCCTGAACTTAGCAGGTACCATAAAGGACAGAGGTAAAACTTGTATATTTGTCACAGGGCAGCTGTATCTACTGGGGACACTGGACTATGAACATACAAAATCATATCATCTGACCATCATCTTAAAGGATCTGGATAATGATATAGATGGCAAAAGGCAGCTCACAACATTATGTAACATCACCATATCTGTGCAGGTAACCTGATGGGAAAGTAAGGCCAGGACACAGCTTTGAATGCCATTATGTCTGCCTTCCACAACTTGGTGCCCTCCAGATGTGTTGGACCTCAGCTCCCATCACCCCCAGCCAGTATGGCCATTTGTCATGGGTGTATCCTAAGAGCAGACCCAGTATGAACACCATGTGAAGATTATGTCCCACAGATAACCTTCCTTTTTTTTCCTACGAGTTAGTCTTCTTCAGACTTTGTGCACACATTAGCACACACTCACAAATGCCAAATACAGCCTTCTCTTACATTTCTGTCTTCTTGCGTTTTGCTTTATATCAGACTGGCCAAGTTATTGGAATTCTAAAATGTCCTGCAACCAGAAACATGGCCTTTTCTCTCGCTACAAACTTGTCATCTTTTCTTCTTGACATACAAAGAAGAGCCAAGCTACCGTACTTGTGACTTTAAATAGGGATGTTTCTTTTGAAACTATACATCAGAATTGCAGGACTCTGCACAGGATCTAGACCACAGAGTCTTGCCAGCAGTGTGTAGTAACCATTTCCTTCTGTGTTGTAGTCTTGAGCAAAATCAACCTCTCCCGCAAAAAGCTGCATTTAGCCCTAGGAGAAAAGCTTCAGATGGCACCCATGGATAGTTTTAAGGGTAATAAAAAGGAAATAACTCTCACTCAAAGTCCTATGTGTTGGCACAGCTGCATCGATTGGTTTAGGGTGGAATCCCACGTGGCGCTTGGTCAATGACCAACTGCAGAAGCAATCTTTCCCCTCCCTGCTGCCAAAGTCAAGTTCTGTGTTCTGCAAACATCTGCTCTGTGCCATCTGTTGGCTCATGTTTGGTGTGTGAAGAATGCTACAAATGTGCACAGGGGTTCTCATGGCTGAGTTCTCACTTGGCACAACATGAGAAGCCCACTGCCTGAAGAGGTCCCTTTGTAGGGTCTTGCTTTTAGGAGCATCAGTGCGAGGAGTAGAATGGATGCTGGGAACAGTCCACTGGGGAACCTTGATGCAAGTGTGCAGAGAAATATGACCACTTCCTGTTTCTCTTATCCACAGAATGTAAATGACAATGCTCCTGTGTGCAATCCTCCCTTTGAGCTGTGTTCCATCTATTCTACATTTCCTAGAACGATGAGAATTACAGAACTGCAATGCACAGATGTTGATGGACCAAGTGAACTGATCTACACCATTGTTGGTGGTATAGAATGGGTCAGGCAGAGCATTAAGGAGCAGCTTTGGTTCCAGCGGAGTTCTATTTCCCTTTGACTCATTTGTGTGTGTGTGTGTGTGTGTGGGAGGGAGGGAGGGAGGGTGTGTGCATGTTTAAAGGGAAGTGGCTAGATGGAAGGCTTTAACTCCTCCATCACCTGCACACCTGCTCTAAAGTGAAGAAAGACATTAGGATCAGCCACACATTAAGAGTAGAGTAGAGATGGATTGAGTGTTTTTCTTTCTCCCTCTGCCTCCAGGCAACACAAATGGGCGCTTTCGCATGGAACGCAATGGTCTTTTCCATAATACCTTCTCCTACAACCGCGCTGGCATTTTTGATCCCCTCATCTTTGAGCTGCTGGTGGAAGTGACTGACAGCCGCAGCACGCCTCGCTTTAGCACCACAGCCACCGTTATTGTTCATGTGACTCCCTGGAGCACAACGGTGCCCACCACCACCACCACCACAACGGTGAGGGGACAGAGTACGGAGATGCTGTAGTCGGGAATCCTTTGGGCAATCTGCACCCCCAGAGTTTCCGCTCCTTTGCCCTTTGCCCCTGCAATGATGGAGCAACCTCTGTTCCGGTGCCAGTTCTTTAATGCAGACCACTAGCCATGTGTTCTTTGCCTTTTTCTTAAGTGGCTACCACGCACGCTGGCAGCCTTTACACTGGAAGTGAGTGTGCTTCTCCCAGTGTAATCTTTACTCAGTTGTGAGGGGGCTGCCATCCAAGTTTCCTTTCTGCAACTATCAAGCTTCAGCCTGTTCTTTCCCTTTACATTCCCTGTACCTCAAGGCCCAGTAATCTGACTCAAAAAGTCTAAGATTATAAAGAGAAAACACTCTTTCCAAACTGAAAAATGTGTATTTCTGTGTAATATATTCATTTGTGTAATTGTGATCACTCATGGAATGTGTCATTTTCCTTCAAGATCTTTTCTGTGGTTTCTAGCCATTTTCATGGCTTTTTAAAGGGATTTTTTAAACAACAATCAGCTCTTTTTCTGGATCCTGGTGCACCCAGCTCATCTGCCGGGAACCATGGACTCTGATGCGTGTCTGTTACTTGATGTTGATTTTTGCTATCCCATCACATTGTTGTATTAACAGTACTTTGGTTAAGAAGTTTCATTTACATGCCAGTAGGAGAGATTAGCCTTGTTAGTATTTCTCAGTTGCTTTGGACACCAGGAAAGCCTTCTGAGTCGGCTGATTGAAATGGGTGAGAATTAGAGCTGGTGGATTTTATTCCCGCCTGACTGCATGATCTCTGAGAGTAGTGCAGTGTGGCCGCTGCTCTGCGCCACAGAGATTATCCTATGGAACAGCCTTTCCCAACAGCCTGGTGTCCTCCAGATGTTTTGAGATATCCCTTCCAGAATCCCTGAACTTCCAGAATCCCTGACCATTGCCCACAATGACTGGGGCCGATGGGGGTTGAAGTTGAAAACATGTGGGAGGTGCCAGGTTAAAGGAGGCTACAGAAAGGTTCCGTGTTGGCCCCAGAGCTGTTGAATATCTCTGTGTAGCCAGTGTGAGGGATGGTGAGATCCCTGGAATGTGGTGTGCTGGTGAGACCCAACTCTACCTTCTGTTTCAGCAGATCCAAGAGCAGCAGCTGAGCCTCTTATGGGCTAAATAAAGTAGAATAGACCAGACTTGTGTTCTGGCAAAATTAGGACTGAGGGGAATTCATAGTAGGATTCAGGCTCAACAAGTACCCAGTGACTCAGTTTCAAAGTCTGTGGGCCTTTGCTACTGAAACCTGGCTAAACTGGGACTGGCATCTGAAAAGCGGTGTAGTTCTGAATACTCATCTTGTTGTGGTTTCAGACCCTTCCCAAGAAGCCCATCATTCTGTATACTACTGAGGAGTACTGGGCACCAGATCCCTGGTTTGTGGTGGTTCTTACACTTACTGGAGCTCTTCTCCTTTCTGTCTTGGGTTTGTTGTTCTGGCAGCTCTGCTGTAGGTGAGTTTCCAGAAAAACCTATCCCTGCATATCCCATGCCAACTACCAGCTTTGCTTGGAAACCAGACAGTTAATTCACTGGCACATCCTGGGGCAGAGATATAAAGAGACTTGGCTGGAGTACTCCACAAGAAAGGGCCTGACTTGGTCCCATGGAAGGTGCTATGTCTCCCTCCCTGCCATCTTGAAAAATCTGAATATTTGCAATCTGTCACATGCGGTCAGCCCCGCACCCAGTTTCTGGGCTCGACCAACATTGTGGTTCCTTCTCAAACCTCCCTGTCGTCAGACATGGGGGGAAGCCGCTTCTCAAAGCTCACCCTTCTGCTGTTCTTTGAATTCCAGGAAGGCACCGGGAGAGATGCCCGAGCCTCTGCTGCAGAACAAGTAAGCGCCTGTCTTGGGTGGAGCATTGTGCATTGCAGGCGCATGTCCATTCTTACTATAGCCAACGGTCTGACTTATAGCACAATGGTTTAGAGATAGAGAAATGAGATAGGCTATCAGTTATAATAGCCATTAGCCATATACTCCTTAGCAGGACTTCGCTGATGCCAGTGCAATTAGGAGAAGAGGCTTTCCTTTGTTCAGGCATTTGACCAGCATGGGATAGGAATGTAAAGTCTGCTCAGACCAGTGTGTATACATTTTATTCCAGTCTTCCACAACTAATGTCCTCCAGAATGTCTTGGAGTGCAGTTCCCATCACGCCTGACTACTTGTCATGCTATGGATTGGAGACTAATGGAAGCTTTTATCTAAAATATAGGAGGACATCAGGTTGGGGAGTACTAGCCTATGCTCGTCTCTTGCAAATAGGCCTGCTTTGGCTGTCCAAAGCCTTTGTTCTCTGGGCAGAATCAGCTCTGTAGAGATGGATGGTCTGCAATTGGTGATTTTATTTATTCAATTTATATGCTGCCCCATTAGCCATAGGCTCTCTATGGCTCACAACACAATAAGATCCATAAGATACAATACAAAATACATAAGTAAAGCTATAAAATTGAGTAAAAGAAAAAGATGAGAACAATGAGTAAAATAAATATCCTGTAAGGGAATCCATTAACCAATTAAAACATAATTAATCAATATCTAGCATATAATTAATAAATCATAAGGCAGTGGTGTTTAATAATATAAAGTCTTAAAACTATCATTAAAAATCAACAAACAATTCACTTATCAAAATAGTAATGGAACAAAAATGTCTTAAGTTGCTGCCTAAAAGAGAGAAGGATGGCCACCAGCTGAACCTCCAGCAGGACTGAATTCCAGAGAGGGGCACTATGGTTGGAAAGCTGCTTCTTCCTTGCACTCCCCCACCCCCCAATCACTTCATTAGTGGGAGGAACCCAGCGGGAGGAGGGCTTCAGGTGAAGACTGCAGTGTTGGGGCTGGTACGTATGGCGAAAAGCGCTCCTTCAGATAACCCGGCCCCAAGTTGTTTAGGGCTTTATAGGATACTGTGAGCACATACCCTGGTCTTCCTTGCAATGAACTGGAGTATTAATTATTGAGATCTTCTAGACTACAGTTTAGTCGTTTCTGGGCCTGAGCTCCTTCTAATCCATGTGTCATACTTCACAGGGGCAGTGGACTGGAAAGAAATTACATCAAGACAGAAGAACCAAGCAAAGAGAAAGGGAATGTTTTCACCAATGTGCTGAGTCTGGTATGGCACAACCTGATTTTAATTCTTCATTAGACACTGCTTAGGTTGCTACTTACCCTATTGATCTACGATAGAGAACTGCTTTCACCTGAGATTAGATACAGTCTCAAAGTTCTTGGGGGCTGCATGCCACAAGTGTGTGGGTCCAAGGCAAAAGGCGCAGGGCAGAAGGCAATAGGAGGGGGGACAAAAATACCAAAAATATCAGTATCTTTTATCTAGAAGCTCTTCCTGCCATTAACTAAGCCTTAGAAGAGACACTTCAACCATTCAGAAGAAAAAAATGTGCAAAGGCTGGGAAACTGCCAAGTTGGTGGTCAGAGGAAAGGGGTGACAACCAGAGTGCATCCAACAAACCCACGCACACACAGAGCTTGCTTCTAAGAAGATATTTTTGAAAATAAATCACAGTATTATATGCTTTCTTAAGTGCTATGTGCTTGATGATGCACAACTTTGTGAGTGCGGTTTCTTAAATGATAGCTATACTGTGTGGGGAAAGGAGAACAACAGAACAAGCCCCTTGCTAAACCCATCAAGTATGAGTTGCAACTGTTAATAGTCAACTGGTCTGTCAGAGAGAAATAGAATAGAATTCTAACTGGTTGCTAGGCAACCCCCCAAATTCCTCTCTTGATATAATCAAGTGGCTAATTCCACTGAATCTTGCTCTCTTGACTACACAGATAAGCTCAGTCTCTCCCTTTGTCCTTTAACCAGACTATACAAGTCTGCTATAAACCTTGAATGCACAATCCGTCTAAACCTTGCATTTGCAGAATTGAATCCTCTTGGCACATACTCCAACACTCTGAGAGCCAGATGGGAACCCAAGGAGAACTGGATCTGTCCCTCAGGTCTAAGGGTCCCTACCTCTGCGTGACTCAGTTGGCTTTATGTTCTGCACAGGTCCTGGCACAGTGCGGGGCAAAGATTGGAATGGAGGAACTGAGAGGAGGGAGGCCTGCCTTGTATTTAGAAAATGTTTAATGATTAAAGCTCCCCCATGATATCAGGCCTTTCCTCTGAGGATGGTACCATGTGAGGCTGTCTCTTTGTTTCCTCCTTTTCTTTTAGGAACCTAACTTTGATGGCCGTGCTCAGGATCCAGGCGAGTTCTGTCTCCAGTTTGTTTTTATATAAGCACTTTTATTGCATTTTTGTTCTAAGGCACATCACTATTTTTACATATAACAATAACAACAACAGTGACATACTGATTGTTATAAATTGTTCATTAAATATGTAATAGGAACAGGAGACCAAAAGTAAGTTTCATCTTCTGCTGCTCCCAATAACATTCCTGATTCAATTTCCCGTCTTCCTGGCCATTTTTCCTTTCAGAAGTATGACTGAGTGCTTGGCGAGTACAAGTCTGTAGAATGTATCTTAGCAAAAGTTAGAAAAGGAAGCCACGCGTGTATGAATGTGTCTTTCAATTGTTCCTCTGGAGCAGCCTCAAGTTGTATGGAGATAGCACAGCAGTTTGAGCCATCTGTCCGTCTGTCTGCTGGTCAATACATCATGCCAAATGGAGCACAAAATTACACCCCCCCCACCCAAACTAGCTCTTTCATATTCCTTCAAGATGGTTCATTCCTCACCTAGAGTTGTATTCATTTGCAGATGGCTGAGAGATGCCTTTGCTGCCCCTTATAATGTGCTCCTGCAGAGAGGACATGTCAGCCATAATACTTAACTGGCTGTGCTTCACAGAGAGGAGGCTAAGCTCTGATGAACTGTTGACACTGTTGTGCTGGGTAGATGCCGCCTATATTTAATGGTTCCTAGATGGGAGGGTGCATATGGATCACTGGGGCAGCGGGGAGGCACTTGGGAGCTTCCGGCTCAGCAAAGTGCCACAAAGCCGGGCCACATGTACCTCTGCATTTGGAGCTGAAGGTCACAGAAGCACTGAGAGCACTGTCTACTCAACCAGCTGCCAGGTTCTGTAGAGACGTCTTACCAATGTGGTTCTCCCTTGCCAAGTTGACTACAATGCCTATCATCCCCAGCCCATATAGCCACTGTGTAGGCTGGAGATGATGGGAGCTGTATTCAACACATCTGGAGGGTGCCAGGTGGGGAAAGACTGCTCTGGAGCCACAGATCCAGCTTCTCGAAGTAGGCCGAATCACGTATCCTCTAGTCCAAGAGCCCCTGGTCTGCAGTGGTACTCACAGGTGGTGTGGGTGGCACAGCGATGTTCTTGGTTAGCAGATGGAGAAGGCAAAGGATGGGGAGAGCGGAATGGACTGGACAGGGGCCTAATGCCGTTCCTTGGTTTCTGTCTCTAGTCACAGGGCAATATTACCTGTTTGACAGCAACACTGGAGCACGGCGTTGGGTGGGAGCATCGGCTGTGCCATCCTAAGCTTTACAGCCCAGGTGCACACAGGCATGACGGAGAAGGAAGAGAAGAACAAGCTTTCCGTACATCACGACTACTGCAACCCATGTGCTTATGACTGGGACTTGCTATATATATTGTGACAGAGACATAGGGCATTTCTGCAAGAGGCATTTACTGTGCATTCATGATCCCTCATTCATGGAAATTTGGAAAGTCTTTTCATGACATGATCCTTCTCTAGCCATTTTCAAGGCTTTTTTAGAGGAAAATTCATGACTTGCTAAATTTAAAACAAGAGCAAAAACCCTCGTATTGTGTTACAAACCTGGTATAATACAGCTATCCCACAGCATCCGCTTGTGATTGGTTATAAGAATATACGGAAAGGCAAAGAAATACAAACTCTGGAAATAATGCCATGTAAAGAAAACACTTTTCCCTCTCACAATGAAAATGGAAGAAGCAGCCTCAGTAAAACAGTGGGTTAAACTTCTCTACTCAAGAAGAGAAGCCCATGCAGTGCTTTCTGATAGAGCCCTCCACTCAGAAGGCATGGTGCAGCTATTCTGTCTTCCCCTCCTTGATGGCTTTTCTATGATAAGAAAAAAGAGGGAAGAAGTGGTGGGAAGAGTTATGAGTGGAAGATGTCTGAATTCCACCCTTATAAAATTCTGTGAACGAATTGCACAATAAAAGCCTTGCTCAGAAGCATCTTTAACATCCCCATCAATAATACCTGCTTGTATTCATCTCTGGGGAAACAGTATGCACTGAAGCACTTCCACTCTGACAAGGTGTTTTTCCTTGGACAGTTTCCATTTGGTCTACATCAAATATTGGCAACTCTGGTGCTATTTCAGTTTCCTGCCCTCTGTTCATGCCTTTAACATCAGTGTGATGCTTAGAAATTAGGCAAGTGAAAAGCTTGCTCTATCCCTTACCTCCATGCCTGGAAATACTTCAGTCCCATTGGAGAAGGAAGGATTGGCACTGTTGAAATGGGCTCAAAATCAGGCTGATTTCATTCCTCCCTCTCATTTTTTAGCATTTTCACCCAGGGGTAGCTACACAGTTCTGCAGATGAGGACCAGGGCTCACAAAGTTTGGCTGACTGCACAGAAACAGGAGAAGCCCTGGAATGGTAGAATCTGTAAGGTTGTAATCCTAGCTGCTTCAACAGACAGGTATGAATTGGGCTTGTCAGAAAAACTCTGCTGCAGCCATCAGGTCAACTCACACATCATAATAAGCTAGGGCTTCAGGGGAATGTCAGTGCATGGTTGCAGGAGCAGCTAAACAAACCATGAACTTTCCATCCATGGTTTGCTTACCATGATGTGCAAACCAGGAGCTCTGTTTTGTCTCATGACATGTCAAGATCACAAGCCTGTAATCAGCAGTGACTGATGACTCTGAATTATTGTTAGTACTGTGACAGCTTTGGAAGTTTTCTCTTGTATTGCATACATGCATTTGCTGTTTTAAATTCAGCTAGATTTTCTGCACCTGGATTATTTGTTCCTTGCTGTGATTACTGATTGAAAAATCGATAAAACAATAATTGCATTGAGATAAGTGTGCCAAACCAAATATTAAAAAATAAAGGAGTATCACAAGGCTATGATGTTTATTCTGTTGCGTTCATTGCATGTTCCGAAACATAGGCAGGGCATCGTTTTCACAGGGCTTACCCCAAACCTGTGAATACCCCACAGTTACAATTTTGCCATAATAAAGGAAGTGCCATAGATTGGGTATAGAATGCTCTTCCCTAATCAAGTTATGGCAACTAATCCCTAAGCATCCGGGATTAAGGGTATGGAGGTTGCCTGCCCAAAGAGGCTTCATTCCTTTCAAGTTGTGGTCCTACAGCCTGTCTTTTGAGCTTCTCTTAGATAGTTGGACTGGGCTGTCTATGCCCCCTGTAAAATCAGAGGCAACCCAAGTAAATATTTCCCCAGTTCAAAACTTGCAGAAATGTGTAATCCCTTTACTCACACATCTACACTGTGCCCTGAAGAATCAGTTACTCTTTCACCTGCTTTCTGAAAAAGCTGGGAGAAGTGGAAAAAGCCAGTCATTTCACAAGTGGGATCTGCAATAAAATGCTGCAGTATGGATTTCTCCTGTTCAGGACCCCATCCATCCATGCCCCTTTCCAGGATACTCCATTCCATCCCCCCTCCCCCTGGTTTTCCATCCCTCCAACAGCCAGCCAGCATTGCTTGTCCACTGAGTGCGCTGTGCCATAATCTGGCTAGATGTTGTTGTTTTTTACCCCACTCCCCATTTTTATATGTCTGTAAACAGGGGGGCACCTCTGAGCCTGATGACATCTCCCTGTTGTATATGAATGGCGAAATTTTGGATCCACACTTGGAGAATGAGGTTCCTATGGGATTTAGTTTGCAGACAAGAGCACTGGCTGTGCTGCTGCACCTCCTGAATTCCCTGCCTAAAAACAATACACTGTCTAGGGCCAACATCAGGGGTCCACATTGTCAAACATTTGTCAAGATCCACAGTCCTACAGGAGACCCACTGTTGTAATCAGGACCCTGAACTTTCATTCTCAAAAGAGACTCCTGCGCTGTGGGTTTGGAATGATGACTTGGTTTCAGGAAAGCTTCAAAAGGCTTCTACATCCTCAGGCCCTGGCTTGTGTCCAGATGTTACACTGCTGCCCTTGGGCCCTGAGTCCTGCCCTGGAGACATCAGCACTGAAATCAGACCCCTTTAAGGGAAACGCTGTAGTCAATGTGGAAATGGAACTAATCAGCTCAAAGGAAGACAGACTCCTACTTGAGGCCCCGCCATGGTCTGCTGCTTGTATTATTTTCAGACCCAGCACTACTTGGAGTTTTCCATGGGGGTGTCCTAGTTCCATCCCTGTCTCCCTGGGAAACCTGGCTTGTTCAAGATGTGATGAAAGCCTAAGCCATATTGTTAACACCACAGCCTAGGTCTCCCCAGCACCCATGGATGCTATATGTATGTTGCAACAGAGGCAGAACTGGATCTCCATTGTCCACCCTGAGTGACTCCCGGCTTCTCCCACTTGCTTTTGCTACCTGCTCACTTGCCCCCTCTGAGTCTGCAAGCAGCAGCAAGAGTGAGGAGCAGCTCCCTTTGCTTGTCTGGCATGCATTCTCTGGGAAGTAGCATGGAAGTGGGACAAGAGCAGAAAGGCAAGTAAGTGGGCCGCAGTGGCGCAAGGGAAGAGGAGGTGGGCCCCCTTGGTGGTGAGGTTCTACTGAAGGCACTTTGGCTGAGAGCCCTCAAAGGTTGGAGTCAGCAGTTCATCTTGTCACTGACATCTAAGTAAACTTCTGTAAACTCAGCTACCTCCTGAGCAAAATGTCCCAAATGGGCAACTCTAATATTACAGCATAGTATTGTATTGATTTATACATAGAAACAGAAACTGAGCGAGTCAGAAGGGGCCTCCTGGGCCACCTAGCCTGACCCCTGGCTCCAGCCAGCTCTGCTTATGACATGCCTACCATGTGCATGTCCAGCCTATCCTTAAACACTCTCACCGATGGGGCCTCAACCACCTCCTGTGGAAGCCCATTCCATACCCTAGGGGTCCAACCCGTCAGGAAGTACTTCCTAGCACCCAAATTGAACCTTGGTTCCTTAAGCTTGGCTCCGCTGGAGCACGTCCTGCCTTCCTCTGCAGGGAAGAAGAGGTCTTTACCCACCTCTGTGTGACACTCCCTCATGTACCAACAGATCCCCTCAGGGTTTCCTCTTCTCCAGCCTGAAAAGACCCAGTTCCCTCAGTCTCACCTCATATGGCCTTCCCTACAATCTGGCCACCATCCCTGTGGCCCTACGCTGCATTGATACATCTTGATGTTCCCTGGACTGCAGCACTGTATTGTATTGTATTATATTATATATCTTGATGTGTCCTGGGTGTTGATGGCACAGCTTACCATGAACTTGCACCAGCAGCTCTTCTGGTGTGTGATAGAGCTTGGAACAAATTCTGAGTAAAGGTCCCCTCTGCTGGAGCATCCAATTGAAGATGTTGATTGCTTACTGTATTAACTGAAGATAATACCTTTGGAGTGTGAAAGGGTGCTCAGGGCTGCACAGTAAACTGTGTAAACATTTAATCAGTTGGCTACAAGTTAATCAGCTAAGGACCTGTTAATACAGATGGATTGCTGCAACATTTCTACAGCTCTAGGATGCCCCATTTGTCTAGCCTTCTCCCTGTTTAAGCAGCTGCCAGGTCTCTTGGCTGAGATAAGGTGAGTTGAGCTGAGCCAGAAGAACAACAGGTATGATCTCTGGCTACACAACAAGGACAGAAAACTAAGAGCTGCGAAGAGAACCCAGAGCTGGGGGAAGAACTTTTCATTCCAGTCAGTTTCAAAAAGGACCTTTGTTTCCCCATTAGCTATGCAGAGCAACACACTCGTCTCCCACAAACATGTGGGCAGAGCAATGGAACAAGAAGCAAGAGTTCAAAATCTCTGCTGACTGGAAGCCACCTGGCCTGGTTTGGCCTCTGCATTTCTTCTCTGTTGTCCCTTTTCTGAGTTTGCCAAGTGCAAGATGCCCAACTGGCTAGAAAGCTTTGCAGCACACAGAGCTGTGGAAAGAGGACAGATTTGTTTGGGATGAGCACCAGACTCCTGATAGATATGTGCTATTCTACCCTTCCTTGCCTCAAATTATAAGTGAAAGCAATTTGCAGGCCAGAACTGGTACTGGTGTTGCAGTCTGCATACACGAATATGCAGTCTAGGTATAGTTCCTGATGGAGGGCTCCTACCACTAGCAGTCACAATTGTGAGAAGGAGTGGTATAAAAACACACAACAGATATGAATGAAAGGCAAACATCTGGACTGCTCTATAAACTTCTGTAAATGGGGTAGGGCAATGGTATCTAAAAAAACTCATTTGGAAGTGCAGGAATGTCATACCATTGCAAAAGTGTGACGTTCAACATTTCCAGCACTGTGTTTGGTGGCTGCAGTCAGTTTCTGTAGACTATTTCCATTTCCAGATGGCATGAGATAATGGCCCCAGGTTTTATTTCTGAGCAAGTAAAAAAATCCACATAGTTTTTCCACCAGTCCTTAACTAAAGATAAGTACATAAAGCTTGTGCAATGGGGGTGATTTGAAGTTAAAATAGTGTGAGCATGTACTGGAGATAATTCACCTGAGAAGTTTGAAATATGCAGTAATATAGCATGCTCGCTGTACTGCTGAAAACACAGACTCCAGAGAGGTGGCTGTAAAAAGGCAATAATGGGGAATATGACAGAGGTTTATGATGTTACATGGAGAAAGTAGATTCACTAAAGGGAATGCGTCTTCATTGCTCGTAGTACTAGATTTGCTGAGGTTATCCCATGAAGCTGAATGGGAGGACATTCAGGACAGAGAAAAGGAAGTAATTTTTTGTGCAGTGCATAGTTAAGCTATAGAATTCACTACCACAAGGTGTGATGATGACCACCAACTTAGTTTTAGAGGGGGATTAGACAAATTCATGGATGTTAAGGCCATCCATGGCTACTTGTTGCAAGGCCTATTTGTTACTGTCACTGTCAGAGGCAGTATCAGTTGCTAGGAAACATGAGCAAGAAGTGATTGCCCTCATGTTCCGCTTGTGGGCTTTGCAGAGTTTGTGGGTGAGTGGCCACCATGGGAACATTGCTGGACTAGGTCTTCAGTCTGCTCCAGTAGGTTTTCAGGTTTATCTAATCATATGGCCTCAATCCACTAGGCACTCACCTTCAAGTAAGTGTCATGGAGTTCAGTGGCACTTACTGAGTACATACATATAGGACTGCACTGTAAGAGTGCTTTTTCTGTGCAACTGTCCAGCATCATTCACAGTATTTTACAGCTGCTTCACATGGCAACATTTTTCATTTGTAGCTCCCTGCTTTCCCTTCCAGTTTCTCTCTCTCTCTCTTTCTTTCCAAAGAAAATCTGCTAAGGAGGGAAAGATGGAAAAGTTTTATTGAGCCTTTTAGATTGTAGTGCTAGGAGCACCCTAATATACAGTGGTGTAAAAATTCTATAAGCCACAGCCCACTTATTTAGGCACATGAAAAATACTTCCTGGGTCATTTCCAGTGACATGCTGTTGATGCAATTGATTTATGGAGTAAAGATGCCTCCAGTTTGAGAACAAAACTCCAATCAGATCAGGACTTCATATTTTGACCCCAATTTTGACATTGATGAAATTGGTGGTAACCCCAACTGCCTCTTTCACCAACTCTCTTGTCACTGCTAAGACCAGAAATACTGTCTCTTTAACTTTCTTTGATAAGATATCTGGAGCAGTGATAACTGCTCTTTCTATCTTTCCTCCATATTTAGCAGCACATCTTGGGGCCATACTGCATGATTGAAGAATGTATGCATACCATCAGATCCTGGTAAAGTGCCAACAGTGTGATATCTTTTCCTTTTGCAACAGAGATTAGACTCGCTGTTGCTTCTGTCTTCCGCCTTTTAGAAATGTGAATGGATATGTGCAATGGCACTGTCTACCAATAATGTACATAATTTACCTTGCTAGCAGTTCAAAACATTTCAGAATATAGGTGGACATTTTACTGAAGCTTAACTTCTTTTTGGTTTATCAATTGCCAGTGGGTGACAGAATGGATGATGTTACCTTGGAAGTACTGGTCAAAGAGATTGCCAGTGCTACAGCAGGAATATTTAACAGAGCTGAGAGGGTTTTGAGAGAGGCAGTACTTCCCATTATAACTTCATATATTTCTTTTGCTTCCTCTCTCAGTTTAACAGGACTTGCAGATTTATCAAATCAATACAACACAATACAAAACCCTGCAAAACCTTTTGCCACAGGCAGAAATGAAATTCATGCAGATGCCATGGGTGCTTTCAGATGAGGTACCCATCATACTGTAAAACTGCCTCAGTAATGGAATTTTATGAGGAGTCCAGATGTAGTCTTCAGCTCATAGCCCTCCTGTTTACCCAGGCATCCCTTCTTATATTATTGCATAAAATTTGTAAGAAAACAGAGATGGAATAGCTGCACAGTGCCTTCTGATTAGTAGTGCAAGATGCCTTTTATCTGGAAGCACACAACTCCCTTTCCCTCCAAATGGTCAAGTTTGCACTGCCACTAATTGCTTCAAATGCAAATCTGTAAGAGAACACTCGTTTAAAGGGAGGGCAGGGGCAAACAAGTAAATATTCTAAAAAAAACAAACAAACTGCACAGCATTTTTTGTAGAGATTTGTAGCGCTTTGTGAAGGTATGTGAAAAGATCCAAATAAAATCTAAGATGTTAACCATCTGGATGTAATCATTCAGGCAAGGTCAGAGGAAAGTTTGCAGAAGAATCCTAGCTGAATTTTTTTTTTTTTAAAGTACCCTTTTAGAGCAGCCAGCGTGTGTACGAAGAGATAAAGCTCAGGGGTCAGAAGCTAAGCTATTGAACGGTAATCTAAGAACCACTTTCTATGGAAGGATCAGAGGTCTTAAACGAGCCTGAAGGTGGAGGTAGAGATTAGCAGTGAAAGGCTTTTATGATTGGTTGATGGACTATGACTTGTTAGCCAATAGACAATCGCCCCCACAACAGGTTGGTTGCGTCACGTTTGCGCAGCGTGCGTTAGAAAACTGAAGGCGGGGGTTCCTGCCGAAGGGGGCGTGGAGAACCCTGAGGAGCGACGGTTACTTTACCCAATAAAAATAAGGAGCAAGAGAAAGTTAAGAATACATCGGTAGGCGAGTGGTTTCTCTTGTCAGAAGGCAGACCCTAGCCAACACGGTTGCTATGACGGCAGAATGCCCACCTTCCCGGCGCCGCCATCTTGTTGTTGATTCGAACCGTAGGGAGCGGGTGAGGGAAGTGTTGGAGCCGGCCTGGGGGGACCAAGCAGCAGCGCCCCCCGGCCGGGCAGGGGGAAGTTTCTCTCGGTGAGTGTCGGCCTCCTCCTCTTCATTTCGCGCTGGTGAGGAGGGCGCCGTTCTTCCCGGGGCTGCTCTCCGGAAGGGCGCCTAGTGAGTGAATGAGTGGGGTGGGGAGGAGAGGGGAAGGGAAGGGAGGCCGGGCTGGTGGCGGAGGTGATAAACGAAACCGGTTGGTCGGGGGCTACTCGGTTGAGGTGAAGGTTCCCCGGTGGGTAAATTCGGGAGGCCTTCTAAGGCTATCGAGCTGTTTGTAGGGGACGGGTGGGCAGAAGATCTCGCGGGTTGCCCTGCTAGGCAGGCTGAGCCGTCCCCTCGACGGATTTCTCGACCCTCTTGTTCGGTTACTTCCTTTTCCTGATGGGAGATTCTACCGTGGTCAACTTCTTCCGCTCGCTTTGATTTGGTCGGGGCCTCATTAGGCTGAAAGGAGGCGGGTGTTGGAGAGGCTCGTCGGTTTAAAGTGGACCGGGGATGCGTGGAGCACGAGAAAATGGGAGGGTGGATTTTCCCTCGAAAATGATATGCCCTCCCCTCCCGTTTGGGAAAAGCATCAGTACTAGATACTAGTCAGGTTGAGCCTGAAAGGTGATTATATCTGTGCGGAAATTATATTAGCTTTTCGTAGGAAACTACTACCTGGCACTCCAATCTTTACTTAATACATTGGCCCCAATCCAGAGAATTGTGGAAGTAACAGAAGGCTTTGGCTGTGGCGTCAGTAGATACTGTACAATTCAGTTGGATAGGTTCTGTTTATATGAAATTGTAAGGAATTCTACTACCAAGTTTTGCTAGAAAGGAACTAGTAATAATTTTGTGTCATACCTTTTCATATTGGAAGCTTCCTCTCTTGTAATTGAAAATGCTTTCTTAATATTTGGTCAGCTGCTGTCATGTTTGCTGTTTGTATTTAAGTAGTAGAAGCTACCACCTTTTGCAGGGGACTTGTATATGTAGTGAAGGTGACTTTTCAGTAAAACAGTGTTAAGTGGATACTCTGACCCTTTTGTAGTAACTTACCAGTGAAGGTAAATGAACTTCCTGAAATTAGCTGTTAAATTTTGTCCTACAAACAAAGAAATGTCCAGAACTCAGGGAATGTATAATAAGCTGTGTGGGTTAAATCTTCAGAAATGCATGCAGTCAGAGAATAATTATGTCAGGAATCTCTAAGTTAACAAGGTGGGCATACTTTTTGTGGGGACATACCAGTAATGAGAACATCTTAATGCTGCTAAAAAGATGACTGCAATGTTTCTTTTAAGGTGATTTTTGCAGCCCAAATGCCTCTACATTAATAGTAGAAGTTAATAGCATCTTTCAGTGTAGCAGGTGTCCTGCAAATCTTTGATCTCATAGAATCAGAACAGTAGTTAGAAGGAGCCAAGAAGACCATTGGGTCCAACCCCCTGCTGGTGCAGGACACCAGTTTACACCATCCCACAATTTATTCTCTGCATAACTGTTCTTTCAATTATGTTAGGCTGATAGTTTGCCAAGTAATGTAAGTTTCTACATGTGAGTGCTTTTCACCAGCCTGGATCTCTGTATCAGATGTGAGCCAGCCTTTGTGCCTGGTTGCATTTATTGGAAGTTTCAGTTTATTTGGGCCTAATTTGAGTAATGTGGAGTACTGGGAACATTTTATAGCAGTGTTACTGCACTTGCAGTAACATTTTTCAGGTATGTTCAAACCTGGTATGGTACTGATCTATAATACCCTAAATGTCTAGACTCAACATGCTGGGCAGATTGCAGCTTTCTCAATATCATGCCACACAGGACTTGCCAGCAGGAGTTTTCTTGTTCTTAATATGTGTGTTATATTCTAATTGAAATTGTGTTTTTAACTTTTTAATGATAGTCCTCTTGAGTTGATCATCTTGAGTTGATATAAATTTAATATATTTTTTAAAGTGTTTGGAAGTTCCAATGCGTACAGAATAGGACATGTAGAATTCTGTTGCTCTTGTCTTGGTCATGTTATGCCAATTCTAATATATTTGCATGGGTTGTTAGCATCTGAAACCAATGCAAAGGCTACATTGGGTAATGTGAGGAGACTGCATGCATGTTCATACACCCCCTGGGGTTTCTGTTGCTAGCGTTTGTGCTAGCACAAGGATTCATTGGTTATTCTTGCTTTCTCATCAGGCATTTGAAGTAAGGAAAAAGATGCTCTTGCTAGCATTAGCATGTGGCATCCCAGGCTGTGCTTCAGCAGAAACAGCAGTGTCTGGTGTGTTGCACTTTTTGCATCCCTGCTTTAAGATTATTTATTGAAGCCCTTCATGTGCTTCCCATTTGAGTTGAATTAGCATCAGTGGCTTTTTCAGTTGTGGGGTGCCAGCTATGGAATACCCCCTCAAAAGAATTTTACCATGTGCCATTGTTGCAGTACTTTAGGTGCCAGATAGAAGCATTAACTCATTCATTTTAATTTTACTCCATGTTAACATTCAATTTGTTGCTCTCCTCTTTGGACTTTGTTAAATTTTCGCTTTTATGGTTGTTATGAAACCATTCTGAAATCTAATACGATGTTGGCTGTTACTAAAATGTTTAAATAAGTGTTAGTGAGGCTGCATAGTCATGATGTCTACATATTATTTCCATTATTGGTGGCAATATGCTTATCGATGACCTAGTTCTCATATTATGCCATTTCCTGGGTTGTTTAATTCAGAATTGGTGTGACAGCAAATGTCATGCTACTGCCATAGGTTTGTCTTTCTGCTTTTTTACAGTTAATTGGAGAGAGAAATGATGAGCATATGGGAGAGAACATGATTGCTTATTGCTGCATGGTCCTGCCAATTCCTCGTTTAAACAACCCAGAAATTGACATAAGAACTCAGTTAATGAGAGTTGTTGGGAAATATGACCAGGATGGCTTTCTATCCTGCTAGTGCTTTGTCCCTGTAGGAACAGAATTCTGGGCTAGATAAGCCTGTGGTGTTAGTGTTTTAGTCCTTTCCCATGGAAGTCTGCTGAAGCCTGTTTTCTAGAGCTGATGTAAGACACTGTTTGGAAAGATATTTGGTGGAAATATTGTAGATAACCCATAAACCAGGATAAATTGTAAATAATATTAAAATGCATTTTTGGACTGCCACCTCAATTACAAAATCGTGTGGTAAATATTAAAATATATTTTATTGATCTTTGGTCACTCTGCTTTTTTGGAGAGCATTTAAGTGAAATATTGTACTGTGGCTACCTGGATTAAAAATGATGCACTTCAAAGGAAGCAAATAACTGCATCTCTTATTTGTGTTCATTGAAGTTACAGTCCTGTGCACACTTTTCTGTGAGTAAAACCCATCGAATACAGTGAAACTTCTGTCTGATGAAATAAGCTCTGCAATTCAGGTGAATGTTGTTCTGATAGTCTCTTTCCTGATGGATGCTAGTAAAATGAAATTTTTGAAAAATTTTAATTTTTTTCAAAATATTTTTTATTGAGGCCCTCTACATTAAAGTTTTCCTAAAAACCTTTCCCTTGATCATCCTAGAAAGGTAGAAACCAAAGTTTTACCAGGAATATTGTTTCAGCTTTGAACATATATTGAAAATCATTGCAGTGATGTTGGTTGAAGTTTTAAAAGATTGTGAAACTTTTACACTGTTTTTACCGCTTCCTCCCTCCTGTTGATTTTTGACATTACTTTGGCATACTACGTTTCACTGCATTATGTAACTAAGGACACAGTTCCCTGTGTATTCAGATGAGGGGGGAAAGGCCTACAACTCCCAGCTTGCCCCAGAAAGGATGGGAGGGGAGTTGTAGGCCTTTTTTCCTGTCTAAACATGTACTGTATAGAATTGTGCCTTCAGTCTTTTGATAAAAAGTCATTAATGCACATAGTGTTCAGTCTTCCATATTTCTGAAGAGCAGCAGGTGTTAAACCAATTCACTAATATGGCCCTTTGGCAAAATGTGGGTGTTCCATTCACTTCTCTGGCTTCGTAATGGCTCCAAGGCTGTTGCATCGCAGCCTTTTATTTATATAATGTGACTATCATAAGGACAACTTCTGCTCATGCTTCTAAATTCTCCAGGGTGTGGGTGGGAAATCTCTGAAATAAATTTGGTACATTGCCAGTTAGGAAACAGGAGGTAGATGTATATTTGCATGAGAGGAGTATGTGAGGAGAAGAAGAAACCACAGAGCATAGAAATCCTTAGACGTGATAACTGAAAGTTTTGTAGGTCCCTAGAAGAACTGGAATTTGATCTCATAAGAGGAAATTGAGGTTTTGGCATGAGCAGATGTTGGCCTGGTGTCTTTCAAATTAAAGATGCCTACACAAGAATGATAACTAATGTTTTCTAAAGTTTGCTACCATCAGTGACAATGGAAAGTAAAGATGGTCTACTCTAAGTCCAGTATGAAAGATGCAGTAGATCAGGATAGGCAAACTTTCAAAGGTTTTGGACTATAACTTTCAAACCCCAGTGAGAATAGCCGATGGTTACCATGCAGCATGTCTTCTCACCTTCAGTCCTGAGTTCACAGATTTATATAGTAGCTATTGATGAACAGTTTCCATGCACCTCCAACTTCCTTCTGAATGGTGGCTTGTATCCTGTGGTTGGGAATAAATCCCAGCCTACACTCTTGCTTGCCCTGCCTCTCTCACCCCTAATGACCTACACACTGGGTGTATTCTTACCCAGCTGCTCCTTTTCCCCCCTGATGCTCCATGGAGCACCCATCTGCTCATTAGAGTAGGACAGTTGCTCTGCAAGCAGAACAGAGCAGCACCCCCCCCCCCAACTGATCCCACATTCCTTGCCCATGCTTAGGCCCCCATACATATTCTCCCCGTTCCCTCACTGCACATGTATCTGACACTCCCCCCATGTGCAGGATTTGCACATGCTATCAGGGCTGCCTTCCCCTGGCAGTCCAGCACACATAAGACAGCACTGTGGGCACTGGTGCCAGGGATGGGGGAAGTGTGTCCTGCTGGCCAAACTTCCCTGATTATGCATGTCTGGA